AGACACGTGATTCTGCACCAACACCACCGCAGGCTCCCGATTTCTGACCTGGATCTGAGCTCCTGAAAGCGCTGGGTTTGTCTATGGCAAAGCAGCGATACACGTTCAGGTTGCCATCTATCTCTAAAATACAAAATGTGCTTAGAGATATGTAAATAAGGTTTGAATTTATTGCTAATTAAACAGAACCAAACCACATCCATGCGCTATATTTGCAGCATCTCAACAGGAACATTTTTTTTTCCCCGACTCATGTGTACTTGTCGGGCTGTTGCCTCTTTGCAAAAAGCACACAAAACTAACTTTTTTTTCAATACCCACATCTGCCTGTCCGTTTTTCAGTGGGAGTGCAACGAGTTTGCTTCAGTTTGACTAAGGGGGAAAAGAAAATGATCAGATTTTGGAAAAAAAAAAAAAAGAAAAAATCCGAGGGGAGGAGGCATCAGCCTGTGCCAACAAAAAGCAGCTTTTTCTTTTTTCTTTGTTTTTCATTTTTCTTTTTTCCTTTTTCTTCTTCTCTCTTTCTTTTATCGCCTCGGCCCAGGCACGGCGCACGGAGGGATCAGAACAGGGACACGGTCGCCACCTGCCGGCCCCGGCGGCGGGACCCGGGGGTGCCGAGAGGACTGTCGCGGACCCCAAAAAACTGCCCCCGAACCCAACTTTCCTGCAGCAGGACTCTTCCCTCGCTCGTTCGGTTCCGTTCTTGCCGCCCCAAGACGCGCGGGGTCACGGCGAGGGGAGCGCGGCCACGTCCGTGCCCAGCGTCGGAGAGCGATCCTCCTTCAGCATCGAGACGTACCGTGGAATATTTATGGGTTTTTTTCTAGAAATGAGGGCACCTCACTTGAAACAGTAGGAAAAGTCTCGTCAGCATTCCGGAATCCCAACCGCAGGGCTCAGGTACAAAAAGAGAACATCACACAGCCCCGTCGAGGCTGGGACGTGACCTGCACAAACCAGCGGTGCCATCTCCCCTCTCTCTGGGAATTTTGGATGCTCAGCGCAGTCGTGCGTACAGCACACCTCTGGGCACGTCCTCCCGCTCTCCACGAGGATGGAGAACATCGTCAGGAACCTCCAGCCCCATATTTAGGTACCAAGACACGCACCTGGGAACACACAGCAGCTCTTCGCTGTTGTTGGCGCAGAAAAAGCAGGGAAGCCCGTGCCCCACGGTCGCCTCGGAACAGGCTGCAGGGCTGGGAAGGGGCCGGGGTCAGGGAGGACGTGTGGTACCCACCAGCTCCCACATAAGGGTCCCACAGACCCCAGACACTTCAGCCTGGAACAGAGACAGGTGAGAGAAGTCTTTAAACTCCCTGGCAGTACAGACAAGCCAAAGCGAGGGCCATTACTCACCTTTCCGCGGGATCGGGATGATGGATGGGCCAGGGATGCTTTCAGGCAATTTAGAAAACAAACAGGAAGCGCCTTTTTCACCCACACGTAATTAAGTCGTGGGACATACTGCCACAGGATGTCGTGAAGGTCAGAAGGACAAAGGGACTCAGAACACCACTACACAAACTCGTTTGTACCTGTCGACGAGGCGCACGCGCGACATTTGGCTCGCAACTCCCCACCCTGCTCACAGCTGGAAACTGGGAGGGCGTCAGGGAAAAACCGCTCTGAAGGTCACTCTTTTCCCAAATTACCTGGGCTGCCAGAGCGTGGGGCCAGGCAGACCTCCTGCCTCATCGCTGCCATGACCAGACTCACACATGGGAGCCCCGTCACCTGGCACTTCTGCCTCACAAGAGCCATTTAGATTTCCCCCAGCGATAAGCCCGAGCCCTGAGACTCTCCCCAAGCGCCCTCACCCCCCTCTTGGCTCACGGCAGCCAGAATTTCACACAGACCCCCAAGCAATAAACTAAATGCCAGACACATGTTGTTTAACTCTAGCTCCAACACACAGGCTTCCTGGGGACAGCACCAAGACAGGATGCAACAGATTTGTGTGACAGTAAAAATAAAGCTTGCAATTTTTAAAAAAAATAAATTTGTTTTTAGGAAAAATCCACTGCCCATCAACTTTCCGCCATGGAACAGCAAAGCCAGGTTCAGGGCCATGTGGCGAGCAGTCAGAACTCGACTGCTCCTTGTGCCCGTGCCAGACAGGGGCACCATTATCCTCCATCCACTCCAAAAACTCTCTTTGCTCCTCTCTCACTAAGGAGCCTTTGAGTCAAAATGCCAAAAGAAAATCACAGATGAAAAGGTCCCAGAACAGGGCAGGTCTGGCCTCCCAGGGGCTGCTCGGCGGGGAGGAGCGCTGGGGTGTGCCACGCAGCCCACGGGAAGCTCTCCAAGCAGAAGTTACAAATCAGGCATCTCCAGAGACCTCATTCATTTTCACCCATAATAAAATCACCACTTTTCAAAGGGGAAACCCCCTTCTGAACGGCTCCAGTCAAACCAGCCCCAGGGGACGGCTCAGCTCAGACACACATACGCTCAACCTCGGGTTGCTCCGGGAGCTGCTGTGCACGCATGGCTCAGCACCGCGTCAGGGGGTCACGTCAGCCACCCACAGTGCAGATCTCTCCTAGACCCTGCCCGAGGGTGACACCCATCGCCTGGTGGCTACTGGAGGCCGGTAAGGGCTGAGAAACCCATGAGGTGAAACCCTCTCCCTGGGCTGCGACGCGAGAAGAACAGACATTCCTGAACTTCATTAACTTCCAACCTCACCACTCCCCCACCAAAACTCCTGATGTTTTATTCTTCACCCATCACTTGCCTAAGCAGCACCGACTCAGCCCAGAGCTTCCACAGGCTGTGGGTACATTCTGCAACAAACCCAAGGCATTGGTTTTAATCCTCAGTGGTAGCTGGAACCCTGGGCAACTGTCCCTACACAGACCTCAGAAGCAGTACTCAGAGTTTACCACTTTGTGCAGCTCCAGCGCAGCCCGTGCCTTCACTTCTTTTCCACAGAGAGAGCACGAATACATCCCACCGCAAGGGACCTCCCCAGCTGCGAGGTGCTCCCACACCAGGGTACGGACACACTGGTCACCAGTTCACATCACTGCACTGCTCGGCTTGAAGAAGAAACCTGCCAACATTCTAGAGGTGGGATTTTACAGCCCGCACAAGAGAGAGACTCCCAAGTTTCACTTTTCAACACGCAAGTGTGACGAAAGGGTTGTCTTGAGTAAATTAACTCCGCAAATACATACTGTTTCGACAGCCCTGAGCACCCGCCTAAGGCTTTCGAGTAAGTAATTCATCATAAAAACACACCCAGTTTTCAGCTGGAAGTAAAAGGAACCCCAGGAGACTCGGAAGTTTGACCTTTCCACAGCTGCCGAGAAGCCGACAGGATCTCATCTCACCTGCACATCGCACGGAGCTCCCTTCCCAGCCCTACATCGCAAGAGGTCGGGAAATGAAGGCTCTTACTCATCACAGGTTGAATAAGACGGCTTAAAATTCGAGCTTTAATTGAAATGGAAAGAAACATTCCAAGAGGATATATGTTTTATAGATTTAACTGAGTTACCAAATTTAGCTTTCATTGAACCTTGTTGCAAACATGAGCATTAAGTCACAAGCGCCGAATAGGAGAGAACTTAGAAAAAAAGGACATAACCGTACCATAGCAGGAGGGATTGGACCAAATGCTTTTGTAGGCAGCTATCCAAATGGGCAACAGGCTGGCAGGTTAGCTCATAGGATGTGAGGACACCCTTGAATCCACCTGAAAAAACTTCCGAGGACTGACTACATCAACATTTTCCTGGCAGGTATGTTCTCTGCCAGCAATAAATCCCAGCTCCATACATATCTAAAATGATACACATTAGAGGGCATGTTTTTAAGAGCATTAAGTCAGCTTAAATTACTCGACCAAAATTTTAAATACAAAATAGAAATCTAAAAAGGAGCAAAAAGAAATTTGAGAGAACACCACTGCAATAGTAATGCCAAGTTGTTATTTTTCTTCTTTTTTTTTTTTTTTTTAAACAGATCTGTACAGCAACATAGCAAAGAATGCAGTGATCACAATTCAAACCAGACAGCAACCTAAGGGAATACTAATCTTGTATACAACAGAGCTGAAACACTCCCAACATTGATGCTCCAAATCCGCTGGCTACCCTAACGCACTCCAAACCAGTTCTACCTACACAGGACATTGTGGTATGAAAAGAGTTTCTTTAAAGTTCCCTTTGTTTCCAGTGTTTTTTCTTGTACAAAATATTACAATGTTTTGGTTTTTATATATATTTACAGACTTGCACAGCTAGAAAAATATAAACTACAATTGGGCTTGGCAATCAGTTCTTTTCTTTAAATACATGACATTTCAAAAGTTGTAGTGGTAACATATCCTGCACTTCAAGCATCTGCACAGAGCAGCTCTCTTCCTTGAGCATATCAAGACTTAAAAACCATGACTGCAGTGAGACATGTGCCACAGCAAGTGCAACGAATGCAATTCATCTGCCTCCTGGCATAAGAAAGAGACAAGACGAATGTTGTTTGTGCAGGTTAGTGGCACAATGTAGAAAAATCCATAACCGAACATTAAGTTCCTTAATAACATTCATTAATTTCACAGGCAGAGCCTGTTAAAAAAAAGGGACAACCACTGTAATTTTGGGGGAAAGCAGACGCTTAGTTCATGGGCATTATACATCTTGAACAGAAATGCAGCCACAGTTAACGCTTCAGGGGCATCTGCCAGCTTCAAGCAAGCCCCAAGGCTTTAAGTTTGTTGGGTTTTTTTTCTGTTCAACTTTTGAGTCAAGGCCAGGGAAGATTTTTTTGCTTTAAAGCTACAGTATCTGTCGTTATGGCTTTTAACACCCCGCCTTTCACCGAGATGAGGTATGTGTTTCTAGTGAAATGGTAACAGTTGAGCAAAGCGAGTTTCAGTGGACCACAAAACTCCGCACACAGGTGTAAACAAGTCTTCTTACGAGAGTTTGCCAAACCGAATTGTAACAGTGCAAAACAAGATTTCTTCTTTTTGTTTTTCTCTGCAGAAGAGTTGTGGAGGCATCCGGGATGTTGCTAGTAGTCGAGCCACTGAGCAAATCCTCTTTCCACCAGAGTTCTGTTTATCGACACCACCTAAAAGGGGGTGAAAGAAAAAAAAAGTGAACAAACCACTAGCAGCAAGCATCAAGTTCCTACTCAACAATAAAAAGTCTGAATAATCACAAACTCTAACAGTGTTGAAAAAATACATATGTCGGCACACGCACCTCATCTCCCATCAAGTTCCACAGCTGTATCAGCGGCAGACCTGTCGCGCTGTCATAATTTGTGACCTGGAAACACAGAAAAACATCAGTGTGCACCAGTTCTGGTCCAAGCCATGGAGGATATGAGGCAGCATCATTCACTGCTCATCAGATACTCAGTACTTAAACCCATGTGTAGGCTAGAGGAAACGTAGCTATTGCCACCAGGCAGCTGGGACACCTTGGTGACAAGTTCCCTCTGGTCACTCAAATCCACGCTCGTGCTGGAATCAGCGATGAGTGTGAGGAAGCGATGGCACCGAGCATCACAAAGGCTTCCCGCTCATCCCAATTAACTGATGTGGGTAATGAACACCACTACCAGAACCAGCAACAAGACTTCTCCAGAGAGCTCTGCCGTACCTGCGCCACCAGGACTGCGCCTCTGGTCATCTCACTGACAGCGGCATCCGCTTCGGGGGAGAAGTGATCCTCCTCTTTGGAGAGAACACAGAGGGAGAAGACGAGATATTCACAGGCTTTAAAGGCCAGAAGGGACTGTTAAGCCAGTCTCGTCTGACCTCCCACATAAGTTAGGCTGGAGAACCTTCACCTACTGGTGCCGTATGCGTTCACCGAGAGCAGCCTGTTAAGCTGGAGATCACAGCAGGATTCTGCCCACTGCGCTGCTGAAGGGAAAGGATGAAGCGCTTCCCAAAGCCACCAGCCAAGTTCATGAGAACGTAAGTGGCTGATGAATTAGGAGGCCTCAAAGACAGAGAAGCACACTTCCAGTGGTTTCATCTGGGAGGAAAGTTGTTTATTTCCCACCAAATTGTTGCAAAAATGTTTCTCCACCCTGGGACCATCTCCCTGAAGGGAGTCGATTACTCCAGGGAACGTGCAAAACAGTGACTTCTGCCAGCAGCAGCTTAAACCCGGCCGTCCACCAACAGACTTGGCAGGGCCGCGACCTCCCCGGGTCCTGGCAGCCACCAAGCCCTCGGTGAAACCTGGCCCGACCTACAGACACCCCTTCCTGTACCCACAAGGGCAGCTCTTTAGACACCAGTACAGCACTCATCTCCAGCACTACGAGAAAGGAGGGGGAAACAAATTAAAAAGAAACACAAAGCATTTCTAGGCAGTGACTGACGTTCTCCCAGTGCTTGGAGGGTAGTCCTTCGAACACAGAACTACACACAGCTGTCATTTTAGTAGGAAAGTGACAGCTATTTGTGTAGCAGATTTAAAACTAAGTTTGCATTACAACTACTCTATGACAGAAGAAGGCAGAGTAGTTACAGCTACTTCACCTGTGCCCTGCCAGTCCTGCCAACTTGCTGTTTGGGAGAGCAATTCATTCTCTGCTCCATGCAGGAGAAATTCTGGGCATTTATCATCTCTCCCCACTCCCCGAGTCTGGCAGGTTATGCTTTGCTACCAGATTTACAAGAATAAAATACAATTTTTCCAACCCTTGCTCTAGTCACGTCACAAGCTGCACTTGCAATAGGAGAGAGAAGGCTTAGACAGAATCACCCACTGAAACCTGCTGAAGAGCACCAGGGGTACGTCTTGAGAGCTCCATTACCTGGAAGTGGCACCACGTTGTCTAGTAAAACTTCTGCTCCTTGGAAAGGCAGTGATAAAAAATCAGACCTTAAAGAAAAAGAGAATCAATCAGAATAAGAACACAGATTTAAGTTGCTCCTGTATTCTTTCAAGTGACATTGATTAATCAATTGCTCTAACAGGAATTCAGTTTAAAATTGAATCAGACTATTAAAAGACAAGAAGTATCAGACTGTTCTCCCAGCAATCTAAGCAGCAGCAATAAATTGTCTGATTAGCAGGGCCAGTCAAATTCTGCTCCAAGCAAAAACCACCTCCACAGCAGAGGCTGTGCTGCTTCTCTCCCACCTCTGGGGCATGGTCAAGTATTTAACGGGCTTGCGTAGGAAAGCCCTCACCCTGTACAGATCTCCCAGCCAACGGAGCTGGGGCACAGAGAATCTGAATCTTATTCCTAGCTCATCCGCCAACTTCTCTTTGGAGCCTCCTGAAGGCATCCTTTTGCTCAGCTTCCACACTGAAGTGGCAGAAGTTGCAATTTCCTCTCCTGCCCCCTCCTGCTTCAAAAAAGCCTTGCAAGAGCTTACTGGGCTCCCAAGGAATCCACACCCACTGCCAAGACAAACCTTTCTACCGTTTCCCACTTCAGCTGTGGAAAAGCTTATAAGCAACTCAAACGACACGGATGCCTCTGATGACGATTCAAGGCAGACACGGCCTCAGGCCATGGAACAAGAGTTAGAGACCTGATTTGTCTGAGTGTGTCGACCTTCACTTTGTCGTATCCTCCATAGTCCACGTATCTGAGCTCCACTTCATTGGTCTCTTCGAAATAGGTGATAACTTGCGCCCGCAGCCATGCCCCATCCAGGCCTGGAGCTGCACAGATAATGCCAACTGCAAAATGTAGGAGGACAGAGAAGAAAGGCCCAGTGTAAGTGGATTTCCAGAAATCAGGGCTTCAGGCATTAGCAGTGCTGCACAGCTATCCACTGAGAATCAGGTGCGTTTCCTACGCTCCCTCCATCTCCTCTCAGCACCACCAGGCAGAGCCTGCAGCCGGGACACGGGAGCGGTGTCTCAAGGCTCTGTCTCTGAGACTTCATCTCATTCTGAATTTCAACATGCAGCTAAGTGCCCAGGGAGGTACTCCAGGGATGAGTGGGATAAGGAAGAGCAGAGCAACATCAATATTGCAGTAGTGAAATAAATAAAGGAGATGACGATGATTTTCATCCACTGGGAAACTTCCCAAGCCTAACTCAGGGGCAGCAGGCTTCCACATGACACTTGAAGTTTTCTCAGCTGAACAATTTGGGAGTAACCGAGTTACTTGCCTTCTACTGGAGTTGGGAGGGTTGGAATTTCAGGCTGAGAATAGCAGGCATACATCTGCTGGTCGAGGCTACGCAGGACATGGAAAGTGGGGTGTGTGTGCTGCTGCAGGAACATGTGCCCCGCGTCGACTTGGTTCGCCACGACCACCTCTACGGTGACTCCATCTGGGAGGAACAGCTGCCACGTGGAAAAAAGAAATTCTCATTAGTGGAAGGACGGGTAGATAAATCTCATCTCCAACAGTTACAGAAGCTGGACAACAGACCGCCATGAAATATCAAACTGGTTTAGAGGGCACCTGTGAAGCACCCACATGGACAGCAGTGACCAGCAGGAGCTTTCCAGCCCAGAGCCGCCCGGCCGGCGAGCTGGACCTTACCCAGGCAGTCATAAGGAGGGAATGAAGCGTCAGCGGTGTTGGTGGAGGTAGAGCATAGATGTTGGTGAGACACAGCTCTTTGAACTTCTTGCCAATGAGGCTCAGCACTTTCTCAACTTGATGCGGGGAGCCTGGAAGATGAAAGTCCCACAGAAGGTCGGTAGCACGGATATGCTGAGGACGCTGCCACATGAAGCAATACAGCCAAGAGAAGCCTTTTGTGCTGCAGCAGCAATTTAAGTTTTAATAGATGGGCCATGTAACCCAGTATCAGACCTACATAAGCAACTCGGACCACCAGGCCCCAGTTTTAACAGTGTTAGCCTCCAGTATAAACCCAACTCACTGGCAGATGTTTTTCAGTCACAATTAGTCCAACATACTTCACAGCCAAGACTACTCATACCCATCCCATAGCTCCTCCTTCAAGCCCGAAGTCATCCTGCAGAAGGTGTTGGTTAAATTACAGCACCCAAAGATGTTAAAATGCATTCTCACCTCTACACCAGAGTATTCGCAGGTGACTTGGCACATACCTCTACTGTAACAGCACTGAGCAGAAAAGTTTCATAAAGCACTGGACTCACTCAGTTCCTTAAGTTCCTTGCCCACCTAATTAAGGCCCCCAAGCTACATATTAGACCATGAACAAAGAGACATCGCACTTACCCTCAATGTGACAGATTTGGGAGTCACGGAAATAAGGTAGTGTTGAGACATAAATTTTGGCACCAGACGCTTGCCTCAAGAAGCTCATAAATCTTCCTTGTTTGCCGATCAAGCGGCCAACTAACCCCTTTGTGAGAGGGACAAGAAAGCAACAGTCAGGAAGAGAAACACTCAGACACCATTCTCTGGGGCTTATTTCACCCCCATCCCCAGTTCCCGCAGCATAGGGCCAGGCAAGATAAATGTAAGGCAATGCTGGACCAGTGTGGAGTTCAGCGGTCTGTGGCAGGTCAGGTAGATATGGAGCAGTAGGCACAGCTCATTTTGACAGATCCACCTGCAAATCTTGTGGAACAACAGGATGGGACAAAACCAGACCTGGTAAAGGCAACTGTCCTCCTACAGTCAAGCCAAGTCACATCCTATCCCCACCTCCCACCACGTTTTATTTAAAAAACAGCATGCCCCATGCATTTTTCGTCGACACACGGAATACTGAGTTTCAGCAATTTTTAAACAAGCTAATTATTAGAATAGAAAGGGAGTAGACAAATTCACAGGAGAGTAAGGCACGCTATGATCCTATGATTATTCCTGTTAGACCGCAGAGCCCCCGGACGGCCGCGCAGGGTGCTGAAGAGATGTCTGTGTGAGCCCCGTCACTTCTGCTCTTCCAGTGGCACCTGCGACCACTGACGGCCACAGAGCAGACACCAGAGCAGGAGTGCTGGGCCCGCGTCCGTGTGGACAACCCTACACAAGGCAAAGTCAGGTACTTTAATGAAATGGACAGCCTGTCCTGACGAACCACTGAAATGTATGCTCCTGCTGTAGAACTGCTTCCTTAGCCTGTGTTTTACTGACCCTTTCAAATGAGCGTTGGGTGTCCCTGCCAGGCGCCCAGCACCCCAGCCGCACACTCGTCCTGCCGGGAGGACGCTGGCTGTCAGCGCCAGGTCTGCTGAGCGGCAGAACCGTGGGAGCAACGCTGTGCAGGGCAGCCACAGGCGACTGGGCATATGCAAAGCAGGGAAGAAGATATGAACATCGTCCTAAAAACCACAAGAAACCCACAGGGAAGCTCACTACAAGGACAGAGCCACAGGAGCTCCTCCAAGCATTCAGCTTGTGAGGAAGGGTTTGGGCAGGCAGCTGACACAAAACCCTCCTACCCTACCCTCCCTGCTCTTAATAACCATGTGCCCACAAAGCCTCCTGAATGCTTTCAAAGCATCAGACTAACAGATGGGGGTGGAAGATAAGGGGAAATAATGAGTCTGACAACCAACGTTACCCTGGACGTAGCCCTGACATGCCTCTTGCTTACAGCTGTGTACTGGCTCTTCACTCCTGTTGAGTCCTAACAGGAGCTAAATGCTGAAATCCTTGTTGATTTGTTGTTGTTCTCCCTGGGATGGCACGGAGCCCTCACCAGGCTGCAAGAGCCAGAAGATGGCGACTGGTTACCTTTGGGACCTCTATTTCCCAGATAATGAAGTCGGACTTGCTGGATTCCCCTCCAAGCTTAGAGTTCTGGAGAGCCACTGTCTTCCTCATGGCACAGCCACTGTCCACAAAATCCACATTATTTACGTCCGAACCTACAAGACATGCACACGTGTAAGCATTCTGGCAACCAACACAATCCAGCCACCAGACACAAGGCTGTGGAAACCGATCACTTCACACAGAGGTTACATGGAGCTCTTCCTACACACTCAGTTGGAATGTTCCTGTATCAGGTTCTCCAGAAAGGGTAAACTCCCAACACCCACTGCCTACTGCAAGTTTCCTTTTATTCCTGGAGAAAAAAACCCTGCATGCCTCTGGGAATGCAACAGAAGGAGGAGGCCCAAGATCAGCAGGAGCCCTTCGAGCATGGTGACACCTCACACAGCAGCAGAGACAGACACCGTAAGCTCAGGTTACCCGCTGGATGACAGCTCTGCTCACATCAACACCGAGCTGCTGCTGCAGCAAGGGATTTTACACTTCCCTGTGGCTTAAAAAAGACTCTTCAAAGGGAGTTCAGAACGTAGGGAGGGACATGCAACCTGTTCACCTGCCCTGTGCACTGACATTCCGCTCCTGCCCCCAAGAGGGGCTGCACAGTGACCCAAGTGCCTGGCGTGCCCACGGCAAGCCTTGGTAGGGGATTGTCTCTCGCCCAAATTTGTCATACGCTTCAAGAAACGAGGTGCCAGAGCTGAGCTATGTTTTGTTCCCAAACCATCAGCTGACACCAGGAACATTTCTACTTTGGAAAGGGACAAACTCAAACCAGCTTCCTCCTGGCCAGATCCCAGATACAGAGTAAGACAAAGCTGATCCTTCCTTCAGACTAACAGGCAGGAGCATAAAAATCCTACTTGCTTGCAAGTATTCAGACCATCCAGGGCTAGACCAAAGAGAAAAATAAACCCAACAGCTGCTTCACGTTTGCCACAGTTAAGGAGTGACACAGCACAGGTGCCTAGGAAGTCAAACAGGGCAGGTGTTGGCCGCAGCGCTCCTAGACAAGGACGAGGGTTGAAGCACAGCCTGCGTGTGAAGGCCAGCTGTAGGGCTTGCCCAACATCCCCGTTACCAACACGACCTGCTGCATCCCCTCTCCCTACCCTTCAGCTGTCCCAGTGCAGAGCTCTCAGCCCTTGTCACACCCAGGCTCCACGACACACTCTTGTACCTTCTTGTCATGCCAGCATTCAGGAGGCAAAATCCTTCCCTTCCTAAGGCTGCTCTCACTAGTGAAAATGTTTTGGGGATTTAATCCTTCATGGTTGGCACAGGCAATCCCCAAGTCTTGCGAAAAGCAGCATTCCAACTGCTTTGTAGCAATTACAAAAGACATCCTGCCATTAAGGGCTGTTGCCACCACAGGGTCCTATGAAGGATTTTAACATCCATCCCCAAGGTCACGCGGGTTAACATTTGCTCAGACAGCTTTGTACACTGCCAGGCACACATCTCCAGGATCTAGAAGGCAAAAGCAACACAGAGACAGATGGGGGAACTCCACAAACACTGCTCCCTGTTGGGATTTCTTGGCAGGCACCTACCCTTCCAAGCAAAAAAGGCTTCAGGGCAATTGGTCTGCAACCAACTGATTCTATCGCAATTTGTCAGAGCACTTCCTCAGTTCTTCCAGCAGCACCTCAGAAACGTGCCTTCCAGCTTCCTTCCAGCAGCAGCCCATAAACACAGAGATGAATCCAGTGCTCCCTAGAGGCTGCCTGAGCCAAGGCAGGAACCATCTGCATAAGCAGGTTTCAAACCAGCAAGGTGCTTCACAGCCCGGCCGATGTCCAGACACAGCCCACGTGCCTGGGCTACGCAAGCACATGCTTAGCTCTGGACAAGGGGCTTCGTGCTGAAACGGGACCAGCCTGATCACCCCTTTGCAGCAGACCCCAAAGATCACACTGCTGACACTGGATCCTACAGAGATGGGAATTCTGACAGCAAACGCAGACCCACCTGCTCACGAGGGCTAAATGCACATCTCCTGGGGAAGTCAGACAAGAAGAAGATTTATCCGAACACATTCTGAAGCAGAAGCATTACAGTACATAAAACACTTGTTCACCACATTTTCGTGGGAGAGTTTTCAAATCCCTTACCTCCTGACTGATCTCCATCCATGGCTGCTGCCCTGCTGCACTCACGATGCAGGTCTGGGCCATCCTCTTTCAGTATCCCATTGCTGCACGGCACGGTGCTGCCTTCGGGCAGCTGCAGAGTCGAAGGGATTTCACTTGGTACCGAGCTCTGCTCAGCAGATGTGTCTTGGGATGCAGATGTGCTCAGCGAGTCCGAATGCTGGCCTGATGTGACAGACAGCATTGTGTTCTGCAGTGGGTCCTCCACGCTTGTCCCACCTTCAGATACGTACATGCTGCACCCAGAGTCCTCCACAGCCAAAGGTGACTTTGCCAGTGACCCCCTGCAGTTTTGCAGAGGAGTCCGATCAACTCCTTGGGACTCACCGCACACATGGCTCTTAACCCGACAGTCTTTCACATCTCCCTGAACGGGGCCAGGCAAACAGCTGTGCGTTAAACAGCTGGAAGCTGTCACGCTCTGACCCCGCTCCTCTGTCAGCGGGGATGTGAGCACCACAGCATCACTCCTCACAGCAATGCTCTCATCAGCTCCTGCTGCTCCCTCCGCAAGCATCCGATCAGGGGCAACAACACTTGGCACCTCCAGAGGTCTCCTAACTCTGCTGGCTGCAGTCTGGCACATCCGAGTGGGCGCGTCACTCGCGGAACCAGACAGCACTTCCTCAGTTGCTGCCAAAATGACATTGGAAATTATCTGTATTGCTACTTGCTCAATTTTCTTGCCTTCTCCCTTGTCTAAACTCACTCCTCCAATCTTCTCTCCTTCCAGTTCAGCTCCTTTTGGCTGTGTGTCCTCCTCCTGACACACAGGCACAGTACTAACAATTGACTCGGACATCTCTTCTTCCCTGGATTGCTCCAAACAGGCAGACTCCAAACTATCCGGTAACCTGCTCACTGCAAAATCCTTGTGACCTGACACAACTTCGGCATCATCGCCGAGAAAGGCTTGTGGGGTATTGGCTTCCTTCTCCAATCCCAGGCAAAGGGCTATCGCAGAGCCACTATTCGATAGCACAACTTCTGGCACCTGGATTTCCTTAGGGGGCTTAAACGAAGAATCACCTGACTGCTCTGCATTGCTGATCTCCTTCACGATTCCCAAAGACTCTCGTGTCACCGTCATCGGTGCCGATGGCCACTGATCGTGGGTTGCTCCACGGCTCGGATCCTGCACACGGCTCGCTGCAGCACCGCCGTGACACTCTGCGCTCTTTGAGATCAGAGGGAGAGAAACACAAGCAGGGACACTGCTTTCATCTTGAGATCCTATTGTCTCCAGTTTTTCACTGTCGTCTTCGAAGGTGCTGGGCTGAGTTGTCACTGGTGACAGGTCTGGAAGGTCCTGGGAGAGATCTAGCCTCTCATGAGTTTCACCCAGAAGAGAGGGCGTCGTCGACCCTGCTGGCAGCAGGGAGGTCGAGGTTTCATTCTCTGAGCATTCCTCTTCTGACCAGAGAGGCAGTCTTTGAGGAACGCACGCTTCTGTTTTGGGTGACAAATCATTCTCTGGCACTTCCCCCTGTTGCTCTCCTTTGGTGGCTATTGGTTGGTTGTGGTGATAGCTTGGATGCTTTTTTCTATGGGAATACATCCACCAGCAGCCAAGAAGTGCCAGGACTCCGGCAGGTATGACATACGTGACGGCATTGCGGAAACGTAAAGCCATTTTACAGAGCCTCAGCAATTATATCTAGAAGGAGAAACAGAAACCATGTTAAAATAGTGCCAGTGAAGGTAACAGAAAGGCTAAACTTTGATAAATGCCTTGAGGTATTTCTATTAGCATGAGTGACTTGTTTTCCAGTCGCTCTTTGAGTTCACATCTCTGCTCTACCAGCAGACTCCAGAACAAGATCATTCCCTAAGACTGGGGATAACTGGACATTTCTCACCATTATATATAGAAATTTCACCTTACCTCACACCTTTACACTTATATTATCTCACCTTCTTCCTCCCACTCCTCTTTGTGGGTCAGTCCTAGGCACAAGGAGAGCACCCAGCACCACTTGCAGCACGGCCGCACTCCCTGACACGGGGTCAACAGCCCGCAGCTCTCCCCAGCTGCCCCCGGAAGGCGGCAGCATCCCACTCCCCAGAGTTTCACGGGCTGGCAACACACACGTCTCCAAAACAGAACAGCTCGCAGAAGGTGAAGTGCTTTGCAAACGCTCTCACTCACAGCGTCGCCAGCGGCTGCCATGCGGGCACACAACATAAGCCGGCCGGTAAGTAAGAGCCAACAGCAACACACAGCTACTCCGTCTGCTTTTATGTGCCACAGTAGGAATTCCCAAATGAAGAGCAGCTACAGTCGGGTGAAGAAAGTGCCTCCCAGTATCCAGAACTCCCTCTAAAAGATTCTGCAGTAGTGAAGATGGGAAGCATGCTACAACACCCTTATAACAGCGGTACTTGTCTGGCAAAAGCAGTCTGGATAGAAACACCAGGACTTAGAAACCCAGTTCCAAAGCTCGTTCTACATCTAAATTCAGCAGCTGCTGCTCCTCTGACTCTGGGCTAGAAGCTGTCTCTCTGACTCTAGGAGGAGTGTGAGCCCTTCCCTGCCAGGACACCACCAAGACTCATCTCCCTGCCGAGCTCCTCGGGGTCCAAGCCTCCCTAGGTTAGACCAGGCAGGGCTGCCCCACCTTTCCTTTTCCCTAAGGGAAGCCTACAGCTGGAAAACAAAGCTCAAGAGCTACCCACATGCCCAAAACAGCCCTGCTGCAAAGCACTTATGGTTTATATTTTCCCTGAGCAGGAATTAAAACAAAACACCACGTGTCTGGCAGCGCTTACTCAGAACAGGCTTTTCTCCAAACGGACCTCAAGACTTTTGCCAATGAGCAACAAAAACAAAAGATTGTAGCCAGCAGATAGCCAAGTCCTAGAAATGGGAACCACCCACTAGAAAGGAGCGTTATCTGTTTCTTCTTTAGAAGCAGGACGCTTCTTAAACAAGAGAAGACAACCAACTCCATCTGTCGCTATAGTCTGTCTCAACCGGAAAAAACCCCAACTTGTTATCAGGGTAAGTGCTCTGACCACAGCTTCCAAACACAACTCTCCTTCGGGGCCTTGATCTTCACAAGGAGCCGATTACATTCCAGCTGAGGGACAAAACCATCCCTCCTCCCTCAGGCTCAAACCGAGCGGTCAAGCTTCAGATAACTTCATATTCTCTCCCGATTTCTCACCTCCTCCACCCATACTCTCCCACCTCACGGGAGGAAACACGACTCCAGTCGAGCTCGCTCGGGCACCAGCCTTGCTTCCGTACTGTTCACCAGAGTCTGAGTGACTGAGGCAGGAAAATCCATGACCAGCAAAAACAGAGACTAGAAAGTGTCTTCCTCAACCCCAAACCAAAGGCTAGCTGCAGACATGACTTAAAGAAATCCAGTAACATCTCCAGTACATCCCAAATGAGGTATTTATGCTGCTCTACACAGGAAACCCGGGTTTGTGCTCCCTGGACAGTCATATCAGATTTTCTTACAAATCCCAGTTACTTCCAGCTGGCTTGATAGAGCCGGGCAGCAGGGCTCGCTGATGAGGATCAGCTTCCAGCGAACAGCAACAGCCGAGATTTGGAATTAAGAGAAAAAATAAACAACTCCACATGATAATTTGGAATTTTGGGTTTGGGAACTCGGTAAGAGGAAAGGGTGAAGTCTGTGCTCTGCTAAGACAATGATGCTCTCCGGCACAATGGCCCATTGTGAGCCCCCGCCCGGGCTCATCCGCTGCCCGCTCCAGTCGCTATAATTAACGCAGAACCACCCGACGAGCTGTGTCACAGGCACAGCACAAACCCAAATTAAAGTAGCTCACATACGTCCGTTCCCAGCAAGCTCTCCCGATTAAACAGGCAGCCCCATTATTACCCAATTCCCAGTTAAGCGGCACCAACCGTACAAACAAGAGCCCGACGCAGCCCCGCAGCGCGGGGAGACACCGGCAGGACGCCCCACCAAGGGACAGGGCTGTCCCCCAGGCTTCGTCCCAGACAAAACAGTTCCAAGAGTCACTTTAGACATTAATGTCATTTAACATAAAGCTCTTTGCTCTCCTGTGATATTCAGATCAACGGGGACTGGGGGATGAGCTGACTGCTCCTTGCCAAGCTCATTTCATTTCGTGCATTGGATGTGACTGCTTTCAGCACGAGCTCCATCGTGGCACCAGCGAGAGCGCTCAGCGGGAATTCCCCAGCCCTGCGCCAGCCGGAGAGGGACAAAAGGCAGCGGCTCTACACCAGGTGCCAGGGGACTTCCCAAAGCTCTGGGCTGCCGAGGGGGCAGCCAGCACCAAACATCTTCTTAAATAAACACCACAGCATAACTCTGGTTCCCTGATTTCGATACGCTGGTCACAACATTGCTTCTTAGGTGATGTCTAGAAGAAGGCTGATTTTTAACCTGCTCCACCAAACAGTTCTAGGACGCAGTTCATGCTTCTCCTAAATCCCACATCCATTTTCTGACGCGTTGAAGAACGACAAAGCCCTTTCTCCACAGTCAACCTGAGCGCCGGCTTGGGGCAGTGGGGGCAATGGCATCATTTAAACTCGCAGCAGGGAAGAAAGCCTGGGATTTTCCTGCCAGCAGCAGAACAGAAAATGGCAACTTGTCAAATCACATGGCCCTAGACGCTGCCAAAGCAGAGGGAGCGCAGCCCGGCAGCCCTCGCGCTCTCCAGGCAGGAGGAGCCAGCAGGGGAAGCGGCTCCAGAGGCTTCGGACCAGAGAAGAGCAACTTGTAAAATCCAGTAGGAGTGTGAAGTGCCGTACGCACCAGCACTGCCTCCCAGCACGCAGGGCTTCTCCGTGCAGCCCCGCTCCAAAAATAGTGCCCAGCTCACAGCCCGCACCCGCTCATCCTGCGCTACACACCACTTCCACTTCTTCTGGCACGTCAGGAATCCGGTCTAAATGTCACACCTTAGATCAAGGCACAGCCGGAGAGCTGCAGCCAGGACACGAGACTTTTCCAACTCGCTAAATAATCCTCACAGTAGGTCAGGGTGGGATTAAGACTCTGAGGGGAGAGTAGGGGTCAGTCAGCTCTCCAAATCTGTATCCTGACTTGATTTACGGAGAACTCCTGGTGAAGATCAGGGAGATGAGGACAAGAACGGACACACACTCTCACCTATCTTAAAAATATAAAAAGTCGAGGACAGTCAACTTATTCTACTTGTTCGCCTTAGGGTCCCAGAGCAGTTTTAAACCACCTTGTTTCCCCAGCGGCACAAGCAGCCCTTGAGCACACCCATCCTTATAAGGTTAGAAATGTTTGCAGCACAACGTTCCCAGAGAAGCCAGATCACTCGTTCTCAGGGTCCGAGAGCAGAGTTCAGCAAACGCTCGCTCCAGATTTTCAGAGCTTTCCACGCAGAAGATGATCTGTTCTGCGGCCAAACCACTTCAAGCCTCTACAAGAAGAGAGACAAGGACAACCCCCAAGTGACTGAGCCCTGCAGGGACAGACCCCACCGTGCTGCCGGTCCCTGCCTCCTCCAGCCCTTGAGAGGTTACGCTTCCAAACCACAAAAGCAGCGCAAGTCAAGGCTGCAATTAAAGATCATCCTGCAGGATCACAGAGCAAAGAAGCAGCCAGCTAAATTGCAACGTGGCTTCAGCAGCCAGGCTCCCTACAAACCCTGTAGTTAGTGACACAGCACTCGGGAAATAAATACTGTTTGGGTGAAGGGGAACTGGACGAGGCTGGCATGGTTAAAACTAAATGGGACCACATGGGATCTTAAAATTTTCCACGCTAAAAATAACCTGTAGCACATGCTCTGCCTTATAGGAGGCATAAGAACAGGAGATGGCAAAATCCTTAAGAACTTAAGAGGCCCTACCGTTAAGATTAGAGAAATTACTGCGGAGTATGAGACATGGGCCGTTACTTGGTCTGCCTTTGGCACAAGGTTTACTGCAGTCAAAAGCCAAATGCCCACAACAGAGGGACCACCCACTTCTGCCCATTCAAACCAGTTTGGAGAGGGGTTTTATACCCACATGGGTTAGCATTGTACCCACACAGGTTAGCATCACCGAGTGTGACCCTGCAGGACAGGGCTGTGGGCTACGAGCAGTCTGCCGTGCCAGCGGGCTGCCAGCCCCTGCGTCACGCACCTCCGGTCACCAGGGTGTCAGCTGGGCCCGCGGCTTGGCAGCCTTTCCCATCCTGAGGTGCCACCATCAAACCCAGCATCACCCAAACATCACTGCACCCAACGCCAGACAGGAGCCAGGCAGGCAGGACCTCAAATCGGATAGCACTTATCTTAAAAAGAAGCAAACAGCTAAGTTTCTCTATACTTAAATAATTAAAGGTAAGCATTCTGCAGCAGCTCCTCCTTCAAAACACCGGCAGTGAAAGACGGGAGCAGCAGGAGACAGCCCCAAAGCGATGCCACCTCCTCGCAGCCCACTAAACAGTGGCTACAGAGCTCAGGCAACAGGCTCTTCTGTGAATGAAAATTACTAATGAAGTCACTCCACAACCTTAAAATATTTAAGAACCACCAGGCCTGTTTGCAGACAGATAAATTATGACAGCTGACTAAATAAATATCACTTCTAGACCAAAGCAGAATTCTGTAGAGTTTCTATTTACACACTCAAAAGCAGGTTTACAATAAAAGTATCAG